AAAAAAAAGTCCCTGAATTTTATTTAGTTCCATCATCACTGGCACTTCATTAAAACAATTGAAATTACATAAAGGCTCACAATCTGAAGGTAAACAGATAAAACAACCAGCACAAGTTTGAATGCTGGTAACAGTGTTGGCTACTTGCGTAGGTTGACACGTAGGCTGTACAAAGATTTACAAAGTCTAAATCAGACGTTAAAATGTGAAGTTTATATCACGTTAAAAACATGCACATTGCAAGAAATCCAGTGGCAGCAGAGTTTGGGTTACAGCAGATATCACACTGGAGTAAAGGTAGGAAAGCATTGTCTCTGCAACTAGGAGAAGAATAAATTTATAAGGATAGGTGACCAATAGTTGCTTTGAATTACATCGCAAGGCCAACCATCTACAAGTAGTTGTGGCAACTCTCAGACAGATTGCAATCTGCAGTTATTTGGAAACCTCTGCCAATCAATCGGAGTCAGTCTGTGTCAATGAGCGCAATGAGTTTCCTTAATTAGGGATACATGACTTAAAACAGGGCAAGTTGATGCCCATTTTGATCAACAGCAGTTTTTTCTTTTTAATTTTCTCTATTATCTATATTATTAATTACTCTGACAACTACAGTGAGGTAGACGTACTGAGAGTCTAGTGTGGTGAAAGTATTACTCACTACTTGATGATCAATATCCAATCTGTAGCTTACCAATGAAAACTATGACATCCAGACAAAAGATAAGTTTCTTAGTTCTTTGGTTTTAATATTGACTTTTATTCCCAAAATAGTTTCTTTTTTTTTTTGCATTTCATTTTTTTCATCCTTTTCATTTTGGGACAAATCCCCAATTTAATATATTAATCTGTAAAAAAATAAAAAATACAAAACTGCCCCACACTATAATTCTAAAAGCATTTTATCATTTAAAGACCAAGGCAGCGAGTTTCTCTCTAACATTCTTTTGTCTCATTTTACATGAAAAACAACTAAAACAGCTACAGTTAAAGTTTAAAATGAGGTGAAGCTGAGTCAACGTAATCTCATCTCAGCAGTCATCCCTGTTTGTCCTCTAATCTGCGGCTGCTTCCACTAAAACATCAGATTCAGTCTCTACTTTTTCTTGTTGTGAGTTAATCTGTGATTTGTGAGGTGCTGCAGGAGCCTGAAGCGCTTCTTGCAGAGTTCACACTCAAACGGCCTTTCATCGGTGTGGGTGCGCATGTGCTTTGTGAGATTCCCACTGTGGTTGAACTGCTTCCCACACTCCTTGCACGCGAAGGGTTTTTCCCCTGAGTGGATCATCTGGTGTTTCCTCATATTCATAATCTGGGAAAAGCACTTTCCACACTGAGAGCAGCGATGCGGTTTTTCTGCTGACTCAGCGCACCCGTGATTGGCTAACTCCTCCTGATCTCTAAATTCCCGCCCGCACAGGGAGCACCGTAGCGGTTTCTCCTCATGAGCAGACAGGTGTGTTTTCAACGTGGACGGGTGACAATAACCTTTCCCACATTTTTCACACTTGTATGGTTTCTCCCCTGTGTGGGCCCGCTCATGGAATATCAGGTGCTGCTGCAGCCGGAAACTTTTGTCGCAGTGTGAGCAGTGAAAGCGCTTCTCCCCGGTGTGTATCATTTGGTGCTTCTTCAAGTTGCTCCTGATACTGAAGGCCTTGGGGCAGAGTCTGCACTTGAATGGCTGCTCTCCAGTGTGGGTGTGGATGTGTGATGCCAGCGATTCCTGCAGTCTAAACTTCTTTGCGCAAAGCTGACATTGGTACGGTTTCTCCCCTGTGTGGATTCGCTCGTGCTTCCTCAGTTTGAAAAGCTGTTTGAAGCTTTTGCCACAGTGGCTGCAGTTGTGAGGTCTCTCCTCAGAGTGGCTCAACATGTGTATTCTGAGGTCCCCGCGCCTGGCACAGGTCTTGCCGCACTGGTCGCATTTATAAGGTTTCTCCCCTGTGTGGATCAGCATGTGCTCCTTCAGAGTTCCTTCCCTGCCAAACTGCTTCCCACAGACCTCACAGTGGTAAGACTTCTCCCCAGTGTGCGTGAGGAGATGCTGCCGCAGCGTGTACTGCACGTAGAAGCTCTTATTGCATTGTGTGCAGGTGTGAGGCCTCTCTCGTTGAACCTCATTACTCTCTTTGCCCTCGTGACTTTCACCGTTCTCTTTGTGACAGAGGTTATGCAGCTTCAGCCCGCGTTTAGTTTCAAATGTTAGAATGCACCTGCTGCATGAGAACGTCTCCTGCTC